ATCACACGACCGCCCTTCAAGCCAATCAGAATCGAGCTGCCGCTACTGAGAGTGAAACTGAGTTTGACAGCTAAATAAGCGAGCTAGTGAATATTTCGCTCTGCAGCTGGATGAGAGCACGGATGTAGCAAATATTGATGTTTATATATATGAATATAAATATGTTTATTGTTAATATTACTGTTGAATATTATATATAATATTATTAAGGCATAAGTAGCTTTCAAAAATGCAAAAAATATATGTTAATTGTTCATATTACTGTTCAAAATTATATAATATTATAAAGACAGAAAACACTTTAAAAATGCTTTTAAAATATGTTTACTGTTGATAATACTGTTTAATATTGTGTTAAGAATGTTTATAACATAAGACACAATGCATGTAGCCTAATGAATTACAAACAAAAGATAAATACAAACATTTTTTAGAAGAATAACCGATTATTAATTATTAATATAAATATATATTAAGAAAATGTATTAAGCTGTATGATTCATTTGTCATATATTTTCCATCATAATGTACTCATCATTTAAAAAAACAAATTGCAACAGGGGGTCCCCGCCAGAGGATAATGCTATATGGGGGTCCTTGGCATGGCAAAGTTTGGGAACCCCTGCCATAGACTGTTTTACACCAAGCAACCGTAGCAATCAATTAACCCTAACCATTCTTAGTCAACTGGTTTCCAAAAGAAGTCCAATTGTATAGAAGTCTATAAGAAAATGACCCTACTTTTCACCTGATTAAATACCTCAATTATGATTTTCCTAATGAGTTTATGGTCTCAAGTCTTCTTTAATACAGCACAGTTATTTTAGAGTAACTAAAAGCCAAAGCAGGCTATGAGGGCGTGTCCACCTTGTGATTGACAGGCTTTTAACACTTGATCTTGTACAATTTGGGCTTTATCGTGTTACATCTTTAACCCTTTAAAAAAAGTGTTCAGTTCATACTGAACAGCATTCGTTTGTACTTTTCTCCACCCTTGTGTCACATCTGGTTAAATAAAACAACATGGCGGAGCTAAATCCAAAATGTAGGCTTTAAAATCCACAAATTAATGGCTGAGGTCACTGTAGTTACTCTCACTTCTTATACAGTCTACAATTTAAAGAGGTTTTTTGTTTAAATTAACACTTAAATGCTGACACTCTTTTTTTTTTACGACATGTGGAGGTGCTGACGTGGACCTATCCGCCCGACCACAGTCCTCCGATGTGTCTCTACGCTCCTCATCCCGCTCTATACTCCCCATGAGGAAGCTGAACACCATCAAGGAGTCTGGAGGAGCAGTGGAGCCGCCTGCTGTTCCCCCCCACCCACACACAGATCAGATAGACGGAGATAAAGACCCCCATGAACCCATGCAACCTCCCCAGCTACCACCACCACCGGGTGGCTGGGTACGGGAGAACCAGAATGGGGAAGGAAACCCCCTACTCAGACACCCGTCACAGGGGTCTCGTGGGTCGGTGAGATTTTAACTGATCATAACAGACAATAAAAAGCTGCCCTCGAGGAATATGTTTAAAAAATGCTTAACTTTGTTCCTCCATTGGTACGGGTGGATTTTGTATACAGAAGAACAGAATACAATTGTATTTATTTTTGTATATTTTTTTTATTGTTTTGGTTCCATTTTTCAATTAAAGGGAGTCAGCAAAGTCATTAGTTTAAATAAATACATTTTGCTTAAAAGTACTGTAATAAGAATAAATGCAAAAAGTATTACTCCTTTGTACTTCATACAACGTAGAGGTACTCATTGTGGATGCCAATATTATATGCTTTTACTCTACTGTATATATTTTTGAGAACATTAGTTACTATGCATAATGAGATTACATTTTACAGAATATAAATGAACTAATAAATGATGTCCCAGCTAGAAATGTTTGGTTCTAAAAACATTCTGAGAATGTTACAGTCATTGTTCTAGGAAGGTTTTCAGCGGGAAGTTTTTGTTTTGTTCCCAGAACGTTCTTCTGAAAGGTAGGATAACGTTCTCTAAAAACATTCTTAAAATGTTTGGTGATAACATTGTTAGAACATTATGCCCTCCTATTCTTAAAACGTTTTCAGCGGGAAGTTTTTGTTTGGTTCCCAGAACGTTCTTCTGAAAGGTAGGATAACGTTCTCTAAAAACATTCTTAAAATGTTTGGTGATAACATTGTTAGAACATTATGCCCTCCTATTCTTAAAGCATCTTGCAGGTTGTTGTTTTTTCTACATTTATGCTTAAACTTGCTTGAAAATTAGAATTAAAAAAGTGAATGTAGGATTTGACATGTTTTATGAGACATAAGGGCAGGAATTCAGAGGGAAAGGAGCAA